GAAAAAAGTCCAGATATGTGAGAGGCAGTAGGAGCACCACACTGATGGTCAAAGAGTCCAGAATGTTTAGATATTCAATAGAATAAGGGAGCCAGCGCGTTTCGGGGGTTTCAGTCCCTTTACCTTCATCGAGACTTTTGTTACATGTGACCCCATTAATGGCTGGACTCAATTGGACTGCCGATGGACTGTGTGGGGGCGATATTGTGACAAATCTAAATGTTGTCACTCTAGATAGTCTGAGGGATCCGCGGTTGTGTTTCCATGTCTGTGTGGTCTGCCTGGATGACCTCTGCCAATGCTGACTTCTTCTTCTCTGTGTGTTCCAGTAACGGGACCGTCAGCGAGCCCGCTGTCCGGTCCTTCTCTTGTAGCACTGAAGTGGACCACGGCGGGCAGAGCACGGGACACCAGGACCTGGACACCCTCCTGTCCATCCACCTGGAGATCTGTAAAGCACTGCTGAAGGTAGGTGACCTCTCCTCTCCACAGCCTTGGATGCCTGAGGGTGTTTAAATGACACCACCATGTTGTAGAGTGGGCGGAGCTATTGATGGGTCATTTAAATAACGCCATATGCAAATAAAGTTTACATTTTAAGGTTCCACTGGAGGAATTTCCTTCCCAAAGTCCCAACAGGAAGGAAAACTCCCTAAGTGAGGGATATCCCCTTTTAGTTGCCACCAGGACTGGTGTCCCCAGTGGAAGATTTCTCCTCTCTTCCTGCTCTGGTGACCACTATAATTATTACATGTTTGTGACATGACAAATAATGCAGAAACTGACATCCCGGAACACGGCGCGGATCATTCAGAACCATCTTGTGGAGGAACTGTCCTGGCAGAGAGAAGTGCTGCAGGATTTGTCTATCATCTATTTCCAGAAGGCGGAGGAGAAGGTGTCCATTGAGCACAGTATGTATCTTCCTCTTCACACACCCAATTACCTGTCACCTCTTCTGTCACCTTCAAGGTTACACAGTGTATCTAAACCCAAGAATACAAATGTCATATATCACAGCACCCTGGTACTTCCATGTGGTGGCTGCATTAGTTTTCCCTATTATCACCTGGTGATCCTGCCAGTAAAACACTTCCTGTCCTCAGGTGACAACACTCACCCACCGTACATGAAGGAGCAGCATTGTCACCCTAGGACAGGTCAACAGAATGTCTTCCCCATAACATAGAGGGGAGCGGGTTATGTAGTCCTCCGAGATAACTGTTAACAATGTAACTAGTGAGTGCAGTGCGGGAAGTGTTCAGCTCACAAGACTTGTGGTGGGATCAACCGGTATTCTTTGAAAAGATTTAATAAAACACTTTATTGGTATATTTAACAGCCCAAAAGGGAGCAAATAAGAGAAGTTCATTATTACACTGATGTTGTCACCCCCCACCACCCTGCACTTGGTTGGCCTCTATTGTAACCTCACCCCCTTCCCCATGTTTGTTGGTACTTCAGTTTTGTTTGTTTTGACACCCCGTCTGCCTCATTTGTACTTCTTTGACAACTTGCCCCTGACCCAGATCTCCCAGCCCCCCCCCCATTTCATCCACCAAAGTTGAGAGCCTTCAGGTCAGAGAGGTTCCTTCCAGTGAAAGGTAATTGGTGCTTCCTGTCTGTGATTGGCTGTAAGTAGCCCAACCCTCCACCAATCAAATGCCTAATAAGATGCTCAGAAAAGGATTGGACCGCTAAGAGCTATCCTTGGGGGCAAGAACAATTGCTTCTGGCCAATAGAATTCCTAGCAGCAGAGCTTTCACCAATGAGAAGAGGGACGGGTGGTGTTCTCCACATGTGCGCCACCTCTATCCTTCAGGGGGGTGTCATGTGGCCAATCCAGGGCCGGATTTCCCACAAGGCCAACCAAGGCCCGGCCTTGGGGCAGCAGTGAGTAGAGGGGCAGCAGGGGTGTGGAACTGATATCTCATGATGCCCGGGTGGGTAGCTGTTTTCTACATTTAGCCCTGCTTTGGCCAAGCAGAGCTAAATGTACAGCAGGGAAGCCGCCGCTTGTTTTGTACAAGTGATCTCGGACCAATACCTGCCTGTCATGGCCAACGTTTATAACACTGGACTGTGATGTGCAGTCCATTCATCAGTTTTATTTTGTGTACCTTTCCATGCTGAGATGACGGCCTCATCATTGGTCCTTGGCACGATTTGATATGAAGATTACATTCCCTGTGTCACTTTTTTGGCTTCTGTTCTGTCATTTGCAGTCTTCCCCAAGACCAAAAAGATCCGACATTTCCTGAAGCTGTGGGAGAGCTGTACGCAGCCGGAGTGCCTCTGGTTCTGCTCGGCGGAGACCTTCCTCAACCGACTCAAGAAAATGTTTGTGATGAAGATCAAAGGGAAGTGTCCGGGACAGCTGGAGGCAGGTGAGGTGCCGGCCGGCGTCACTGAACCCATGTGAAAGTTTGTTAGGAACCTGATTACAACCTAATTATATACATTTTATAGACTGACTTCCCTTATCTGATTCTTCAGCTTGAGAGCAGGGCTGAGGGCTGGGCAGACAAGGCGACCACCATGGGTGCTTCAGGATAGGACCTGCAACCTATACTGCTGAAATAGCTCAGAGATCGCCATGTGAGCTTTGTCCCTGCATCATACACAGTACTATGGACTCCCTGCTGGCCAGCAGGGACACTGGGCCAGATCACATGCACTTCTGCCCCTGGGTATCCTGGAGATACCCTGTGGCTTCCAGCACTGAGAGGGGCATTGAGGGGGAGCAAAGGATAGATAGGATATGTTCAGGGCTGGATTTACTCTCTCTGCTGCCCCAAGGCCAGGTTCCTCAATGTGACCCCTGACACAACTACAGGACTGTTGTTTGATACTGTTATGCACACTCTGAAGCTCCCAGCCAGTCATTCGTATTACAGTCAGCCAATTGACAAGGCAGGAACTGGCAGGCTCCAGGTGACCTCTGACCTGTACAGATTCCAGTGTTATTTTTGGACATTTTTAGACTTCTGCAATCAGAAGAATGACCGAACAAATAAAGGCAGCCTAGCACTTCAATAGAAGTTCATTGGTTGGAGGTCCATAAAGCCCCCCCAAAATCCCCCATATACGGTCAGATTCCATTGATAGCAACAACAGAGCAATTCTGGAGCCTCCAGATGATGTTTCAGCCGACGTCCCAGACCCGCATCTAGCCCGGAGCATGGCGGGACTCATGTGGAGGCCGTGGAAGAGGAAGTGAAGCCTTCCTGTATATCGGAGGCTTGGAATAATGGAGTCTGCAGGTGCTGGGAAGGGGGTGGAAATGTGGCTGGTGGCGTCCGCTCTTCTCCCGGCAGATCACGTTCCATGTAGCACTCTTCCTGTGTTCAGCAGACTCGGATGCTGAAATGGGAGCCGTGCCCAGGCCGGGGAAGGAGGCAAGCGATCTGTCGGAATCATTATCCACTTACATCTCCGCTGCCTGTGTTTGTGCTATCGGATTTCTCGGTGCCCCCATCCACGGTAAAGCCATTATGTATCCGCAGTCTCTGATCACGGCCTGCTCCTCTCTGGGCCGTGGGTGATGACTTTTTCCAGGCAGCAAATAAATCTTCCGAGTGCCGGATTCAGTGCAGGCGCACTCACGCTGAAAATGCGTTGCATGCAACGGACTCTGTAGACCTGACTGGCCCATAGAGAAGCATTAAAACTCTTCTGAGCACTGATTACATCTAAGATTACATTTATGGGGTTCCATGTGGAGCTTTAACTGAGAGGATCTGTATTGGATCAATCCGTCGTGAACAGCCAAACGCATTGATTCCGAGACATAAGAAGGGTGCAGCAAGAGTTGAGAGACTCTGGCAGGACGGGGAATCACAATAGGTAGATGTCGTTGCTGGAGTCCCCAGTGGTTTACCAGAATCCACCCATAATTAGATAACGGGATGCTCTATAGCTTTCCATGAGTCCCCAGTGGTTTACCAGAATCCACCCATAATTAGATAACGGGATGCTCTATAGCTTTCCATGAGCACAAGACCCAACATGTACTCATGGACAAAGGTGGTGCCATCCCAGGTCTCTGTACCGGTGACAGGTCCTCTTTAACTATAAAGTAGACACTTGTCCTGCGTCTCTGCACCACTAAGTGACATTTCGGTTTTCTCTGCAGTTTTCCGGAGGACGTTAGAGCAGATGTTCAGTTTCGGAGGGATCATGAGCTCTGGCGAGATTCCAGACAACGTCATCTCCATCTTTCTCTTCTATGGGTACCTGCGGCGATACCATGTGGTGGATCTGGAGAAACACTTTGCTGCGCTCACCAGGGAAGGTAAACAATCACCTTATTGTAGGATGCAGAAGGCGGTCATGGCGGCATGCTTCCAGAGCCAGGAGTGGGTTAGGGCGGCATGCTTCCAGGGCCAAGCAGGGGGTCAGGGTAACATGCTTCCAGGGCCAAGAGGGGGTCAGGGTAGCATGCTTCCAGCGCCAGGAGGGCGTCAGGGTGGCATGCTTCCAGGGCCAAGAGGGGGTCAGGGTAGCATGCTTCCAGGGCCAAGAGGGGGTCAGGGTAGCATGCTTCCAGGGCCAAGAGGGGGTCAGGGTAGCATGCTTCCAGCGCCAGGAGGGCGTCAGGGTGGCATGCTTCCAGGGACAAGAGGGGGTCAGGGCAGCATGCTTCCAGTGCCAGAGGGGGAAGTCAGGGCCACATGCATTCAGTGCCAGGAGGGGGTCAGTGATGCATGCTTCCAGTGCTAAGAAGGGGTCAAGGCGGCATGCTTTCAGCTCATAAATCCAGCAGGAGGTCTGGTACCATTACTAAAAGGGCTATTCACATGAATAACATGTGCAGGGTGGGTGGGGGGTGCTGAGTATTTGTGTTGCTAATTCCAAACAGATGTTTGCTATAAAGAGGCCCTGTCATGTGTTGTTAGTGAACAGTAGGAATGAGGCAACAGGGGCAGCTGGCCACAATGGTTTAGGTTTGGAATGGTCCTTCAAGTACTTTTTGGCACAATATCTGCCAATGTTGTAGCATTCGGTACATTTTCTTTCTTCTTTAACAAGCCTCTTTTTATATGCCCCTCCCCCCTGCAGTCACGCTGATAGGGGATCTACAGCTCCCCGGGAGGCTCAAGAAGATTAAAAAACTAAAGGCAAAGAAAATTGCCCGTCTCCAGCCTCTGCCGCAGTTCCTCAAGTTGGTCGCCCCCTTCCAGATAGACGAAAACCTCAAGCTGTGCAAAACCGCCACCAACTTCTTCTGCCGGGCGTCCGCCAACAAACACTTCAAGCAGAAGGTAAGAACCGCGAGAGGTTTCCCCTCACTTCCTGTCTTGATGAAAGGATGTTACGGGGACAGAACTCTTTCGAATTGAAATCGAGATCTTATAAGAGGTTCTTATTGCTGTCCATGTCCTGGTGATCCCACTCATCTCATTTCTTGTCCTGATGTCACCGCAAGAGGAAGTGAGGGAAAATCCTGCCAGTGAGGTCATACATGGCAATTAAGACTTGACAGAGGTCCCAACTCTTCTATATAAATTGGTCCCAACTCTTCTCAATAAATTGTTGGAGTTGAGCTTTATTGGCAAACAAGGCCCCGTTTTTTATATAGACCTTTATATAACGCCATTGAGTGTGTATGGCAGACCAAAGAAAATGTATCCTGACCAATTCCTCACTATAGGTCTGTTGGCATCTACCCATGTGGAGGATCTTGGGTGACTGATGCCAGGAGGCTGGTTGGCTCTACCTGACCTTCATAACTCTTTCCATGATCCTCTGACAGAGATCACATGACTGACACCTCCATCTTTATCATTAACCAGTTGACATCCGCGGTGTTAAACCCCCTTCCCATCCAGGCCATTTTTCAGTATTCAGCGCTGCGGTACTTTGACTGACATTTATTCCGTCATGCAGCGCTGTACTGAAATGAATTTTATACCCTTTTTTGGGGACAGATAGAGCTTTAGCACTTCTAATGACTCTTCTTCTCCTCCTCCTCCTCCAGGCCTTGCTGTACTACACTGAACTCTTATCTGACAGCGATCCCAAACTTCAGAGATCTGCCTGCCTGGCCCTTAAACATCTCAATGTAAGTGCCCATCTATTGTGCCCCGCGGTGCAAAACCTGGGTTAGCCGTGGATATTTGGTGGAACCATTGCTAACCTTTAGCTAGAAGTATACTTTGCAAGGCAACCCAGGATCAGTCTAATGGTGGGCCCTCAGCCAGGTTGGGATGTCATCAGCCCTTACCTTATAGTGATTGCATTGTTGATCTCTACTGAAATGAAGAAACTGCTAAACCAAAGAATCCTCAGAGTCCAACGCTTCTGGGAATGCCAGATTCCTGGTCTCCCACTGCGCTCGTTGGTTTGATCCACTACCCCTATGTGGCTACTGTGTCCTGTAGGGGTGTAGGGGCTAGTGTGAGGAACCACTGAGCTTAGCGGGGGGTCCAGTAAAAACAATAACTCCCAGAAGTAACCTATGCAGATACTTTGACATGTCTTGAACGTGACCTTGGAGTACCCGTGCCTTCATTCCGGAGATCGGCAGTGCGTGTAGTTGCTCCTCCATGGGCTGCGGGGGCTTCAGCCTCATCTATACACAGAAACATTATGGAACAATTTGCAACTGTAACAAATGTTCACACATATCTCCATACGTTTGTTGGCCGAGGTTGTCTGCACCATAAACAGATTAGAAGACACCTGATAGAAAATGTCTGAAGGATAAGCTGTTCATGTTCAATTCCCCCGGATTCGGAAACATGAAATGTAGAATCTCATTGGTGGCTTTGGGCCGTAAAGCGGACCTTAAGGCCCCGTTCACACTTAGCGATTTATGGCGCGGTAATTCCCGCGATATCGCTCTCCAATGCTTCTCAATGGGGCAAAGGGTCCTGCTGTCGCGGGTCGTGCGTCGCTACAGCAGGACCCTTTTTGGAGCGGATTTAGCTGCGATTCAAGCTTGCTCAATGCAAGCATTTGCGCAACAAATCGCGCAAAATGCAAATCGCGCAGTGTGAATGGGGCCTTAGTTTCAGCGTGTGGGGGGGTGTACGGAGGTGCAGTCAGGCTTATAATATCTGATGCCTTGTATGGGGTACTGATGACTGTGTATGTTGCAGGGGACGGCCAGCATTGACCAGATTGCCTGTTTGTGTCAGTCGGAAGTGGAGGAGGTCCGGAACACTGCCAGGGAGACCATTGTGTCCTTCGGTAAGTCTGTTACCTCTGAAGGTAGTGGGGTCACTTTCATTGTCTCCCCCGAAAACCGTTTCCTTTTATCATAGATGCCGGAGAGTAAAACCATATGACCGTTTGATACATATCTCGGGGAGTCTGCGTTTGGTGAGGTCTATGTAAACCAGTCAGCCATTTATAACCTTTTATACCAAAAGCTCTGACCCATATCAAGTACCAGGAGGTGCTATGACCTATTCTGTGCCCCTCTTTTCAAGGCTCAGCTCCTATATTGTAGAGGTCCATAGAGGAGAGTCCTGGGTAGCAAAGCCAATTGGGTCTTCTCTACAATAAACTACTACTCCCATCATCCCCGTGAGAATAAAGAAAAAAAAGAGAGAAAAAAAACCCTCGAGAGAGGAAACAGCTGAGAGATGGAATTGTCCTCAAGGTGGCGCAATGACACCGGTGTTTTATGGGAACAGAATATCGGATTGTCGAATCTCGTTGAAGCCGGTATAGAAAACGTCCAGTCTAGGAAAGTGAACGCAGATCTCACCTGACCATTCGTTTCAACAACATTCTTCCCATAAATAAGATGATATGTGGCTTTCATACATGTTAATTACAATGTAAAAGTGTCCAGACATCCAAAAGGCCCAGAGACTGCTGCTGGGTGCTGCCATCTTGGATGTGACGTCAGCAGCCCCAGTCACTCTATAACGGGGCAGACAATCTCCTCCATGCCTCCCCCTCACCTCCTTATATGTGGCAGATGGGGGAGGAAGCAAGGGGGATACTATAGAGCGGGGACAGACAATCTCCTCCATGCCTCCCCCTCACCTCCTTATATGTGACAGATGGGGGAGGAAGCAAGGGGGATACTATGGAGCGGGGGCAGACAATCTCCTCCATGCCTCCCCCTCACCTCCTTATATGTGGCAGATGGGGGAGGAAGCAAGGGGGATACTATAGAGCGCCCATTGCTACTTCGGGTATACTAACCGGCCATCTTGTTTCAGGTCAGAGAGGGCGACAAGTCTTCCGGAAGACGGACAAGATCTGCCGCGAGCTCCAGGAGACGCTGACGCTGGACGGCGAGATAGAGATCACGGTGTTCTGAGACCGGAAGGGACTGCGTGTAACATTCCCTGACACATCTCCGCACACGCAGGAAACATTCTATATCACCGCTCTACGCACAACGCTCCGTTATTTGGTTTCCACGGACGCACAGACGGACATTCGGGGTTTGGAAGGTACTACGAGGCTCCCCGTTTCCTCCTCAGAGGCTCCTACATGGTCTCACCCAATCGGAGCCACGCACGGTGCATAGGAAATGCCGCCACTGTGTGTCGCACCCCTGCCGGGCCAGTTCCTCTAAGGAGGAGCCATCTTCTGCTAAGCCCCTCCTCCCCCCCACGACAGCGCCTGCCTATCTGTTATTTTGACACCGCGGGCTGCGTTCACATCGACCGAAAGCCGAACTCCAGGCAAACCGCTAAATTACATACAAAGGAGTCAAAATATTTGTATATCTGTCCATCCCCTCCTGGCATTTATACAGCTCTGTCACACAGCACAGACCCTGTCTGGCAGAGTAGGAGACGCGATTCTTCCTCTGCTGCAGTTGCACATACAGGCCTGTGATGTGACTGGACAGTGAAAGGAGTAGCAGCAGACTGACGAGCTCATCTCTCTGCTCTCCCCTTCCGTCAGCATGACCCTTGCACTGCAGCGCAGCCGATTGCTTCTGCCTCCCTCAGCCTGAGCTCTGCTGTACACGGATCGCAATGGCCGACACCAAGTCCATTCCAGGTACTTGCACTGCTCATAGTAATGAATGCAGAGCGGCATTAACGGCGCGCCAGCAGTTCAGCTTCAGCACGCGAATAAGGATCTTTATTATTGTTGTTTTTTTTTTTGTACCATGTGACTTTACTTCTCCGATCTCATTGGACTGCAAGAATGACGCAGGGAATGAGGATCCTTCCCCCGGCGGGCTTTGTGAATAGGAGCCTGAGATCTCTTCTATCGTCAGGTCAGCAGCTCATGTGGCGGAGGTGAACGCGCTCCGCTGAAGCCGCTGAACCGCGCACGTGACAACCTTCTGTAAATAACGGCGATGAGAGGAATTCCTGAGCGAGCCGCCAATGGGAATCCGCAATGTGTACATTCCATGTATAGAGGCGTGTATATGAAACCCCAAACATTCCAGACCGTGAAATAAAAGCCTCCTTCCCTGTGTGTAGCTGGAGCGTTACGGATGTCACCTTCCTGGCCTGCTGGTCACTGGCGGCGGACATGACTACATACTGGTACATTACTAGTCGCATCATACCAGAGGTGTCACAAAGGGGGGGTGTGGCCTAGCGGGTGACACCAAAGAGACTGGCAGTCAGTGTCACCTTCCTGGGCTGCAGGTCACTGGCGGAAGACATGACTACATACTGGTACACTACTACTCACATCATACCAGAGGTGTCATAAGGGGGGTGTGGCCTACCGGGTGACACCAAAGTGATTGGCAGTCAGTGTCACCCCCTCTGATGGTGTCACCTTCCTGGGCTGGAGGTCACTGGCGGCGGACATGACTACATACTGGTACATTACTACTCACATCATACCAGAGGTGTCATAAGGGGGGTGTGGCCTACCGGGTGACACCAAAATGACTTGCAGTCAGTTCCAACCCCTCTGACGGTGTCACCTTCCTGGGCTGCAGGTCACTGGCGGTGGACATGACTACATACTGGTACATTACTACTCACATCATACCAGAGGTGTCATAAGGGGGGTGTGGCCTACCGGGTGACACCAAAGTGATTGGCAGTCAGTGTCACCCCCTCTGATGGTGTCACCTTCCTGGGCTGGAGGTCACTGGCGGCGGACATGACTACATACTGGTACATTACTACTCGCATCACACCAGAGGTGTCATAAGGGGGGTGTGGCCTACCGGGTGACACCAAAGTGACTGGCAGTCAGTTCCAACCCCTCTGATGGTGTCGCCTTCCTGGGCTGGAGGTCACTGGCGGCGGACATGACTACATACTGGTACATTACTACTCACATCATACCAGAGGTGTCATAAGGGGGTGTGGCCTACCGGGTGACACCAAAATGACTGGCAGTCAGTTCCAACCCCTCTGATGGTGTCGCCTTCCTGGGCTGGAGGTCACTGGCGGCGGACATGACTACATACTGGTACATTACTACTCGCATCACACCAGAGGTGTCATAAGGGGGGTGTGGCCTGCACTGGGTGACACCAAAGTGATGACAGTCAGTGTCACCCCCTCTGATAGCGTCCCCCGGTGCGGGTCGTACCCCCCTTGTGACGCCTCTGGTATTATACTGAAAAGTTGGGCACTCGGTAATGGGCCGAGAGCCCCGACAGCTCCACGAGAGAGGAGGGGACCCGGCAGCATACCTTATCCTGCCACATGAACATCCCCTCCTTGCTTTGCCAGCATCCATCACCAAGATGGCCGCCAGCAGCTAAGGTCACGTGACGACATTGTGTGCGTGTGCAATGACGTGCCATGAGGTGACGCCCAGTGGCCGCACCGAATGATACCCGGCATGGTGACACCTCTGCATAACACTGTAATAACTGATTTACATTCAACGTGTGTACAGCCATCCTGTATGTCCTGTTGGGGAATCTTGGTGAGTTGACACCAGGACCGGAAGTAGGTAACATTGTAACCATGGGGACACCTTTCCCGGGACATTTCCCTCTCTTTGTAGAGACTTCCTTACAATTCCTGTTGTTGTGTTTCTGGGGGACGCAGTCCAGGGAAATCTCCCCAACGCAGGATTACAACACTGAACCCTTCCCGGATTATTTACAGAGCAGGCCGGCCTGCGCTGGCCCCGCTGTACAATATGGGGTGACCCGTCCCCTCCAGAGTCTTCCTCACCCTGTCCTAGATGCAGACCAGAGGTGGAGGCTGGGGGGGGTTCTATACGATGGCGGGG